AACTTTAACTCTGTGTTTAATATCTTCCCTCAACCCACTCACAAACAAAGAAACAAAAAATTCTTCCCCTAGTGTAGGGTTTTGCAATAACATATGTGGCTGTAATTCTTCAAATTTGTCCTGATATTCTTCCACAGTTCCTTTTTGCACTAACTTTGTGAACTCCTCCACAATATCAACAAAAAATTTATCACTGAACCTATGACATAGGTCTGCCTCAAACTCATGCCAAGTAACATGATATTTTTGCATAATATAACCATCAAACCATACTTTAGCCTTCCCTGCTAAATACATTGTAGCTACTTCAACTCTTTGCTCATAAGCAATATTACAAAGAGAAAAATATTTAAGGCATTTTTGTAACCATCCTCTTGGATTAAGTCCTTCAAAAATTGGCAGCTCAATTTTTGGTCTTTGCCACATTACCCCTGACATGTTAGAAGACCCCCCAGTACCTCTTTTATCCACATCTACTGCCATTAGCTGATTCCTAGCAGCACTGTTCTCTCCCATTAGATTATCATTCTTTAAGCTAGTCACTTGGACAGGCAATTCTCCTGGTTTAGACTTAAGAATTCCAGGCTCCTCAGGGTTATAAGTAAACCTAGTCTTATCATTAATCACCGTCACTTTAACAGGCTGTTTACTACTCATATTAACTGAGTTAGGAGTCTGTACCTGGTCCTCAGCAGACTGGTTTTGGTCCTCCTTCCTACCAGTCAGGATCTTCAAAATTTCTTCCACATATCCATGATTCATAGCCATCCTTGATTCCAATGCAGAAATCCTATTATCCTGAGTCTCCCACCATTTAGGAGGGTTAGACTCATCCTGTCCCTGTTTCACCAATGCTGTCAGCTCCTCCATTTGTTTCTGCAACCCCATTAAATCATCTGCCATGTTCTGATTTTTCTTGGGCATGCCCCCAATTTTACCAGAAACAGAGGCTCTCGATACCAATTGTTATAGTCAATAGAAATAGAGATAGATTTGAGAAGAAGAATTAGAGAATTTAGAGGATTCAGAAGAAATGCTTCATTCAATACTTGAGGAATTCAATCTCTCAGCCGTTGTTTATTTAGTTACAAGGCTAAAATGGTAAACTAAGTACTCCAGCTGGCAGTACTATATAACAGATATAACAAACTGCTTTTATCTTCCCTTCTCAGATATTGGGCCATCACGTGGGCTACCTTCTCTCTTCCTGGACTAGACTTGCCTGCTGATCCAAGCCTTCTTGACCCACGTGCTCCATCTGCTCCCTTTCAAAACACATCTTTACCTCTTCATTTCCTTTAATCCCTAATTTCCCAATTTATATCTCCTCTCTCACTCCGATTCCCAAATCACCATCTGAAATCCCTAACCCTTGACCACTGCTTTCCCCAATTATTTCCCTGCTTCCTTCTTTTCTTCCGTGCTCTTCTCCTCCAACTGTAACACATACATGGATATCATGGCAACTAACCAGAAATGGGGGGAGGGGAGGGACAAAGTGAAATTATACATATGGTTTAATCGAAGTTTGAGATAGAAATTAAATAAAGACCTGGCCTTTATGCTCTACATGCTTGGTCTGGTAAAACCCTTTACGGATTATCTAAAGAATCATTAAAGACCAAAAAAAAAGGAGGTAAGAGAATTCAACTGAACGTACCAATGAAGTAAACTGCAAGACAAAAAACGGAGATAAAAAAGAAGATAATGAGATAAAGAAATGAAATCTTGAATGAACCTCTCCGGCTATCTTAGCTGCATCGACTGCAGTGGCCAAGAACTCTTCAACAGAACCTGAAATCCAGAGAATTTACAGAAACAAATAACTAAAACAAGAAATAAAAATCCCACAGGAAAAAATGAACCAAGGAAATCAATGGAAGAACAATAATGCTCAATCAAGTGACGAAAAGGGGGAAAAGATGAATGGGGGTCCTACCATTGTCAGCCATTGGCGGGAGAAAGCGTTGGGAAAATTGATGGGTTGTTTTTGGAGAGCTTTTCACGTAACAACCAACAAGCGACAAGCAAATGGAGACCATGCGTTTTGGGTTTATATAGCACAATAATTTTACCAGAAACAAAATGCCCCTGAAATTCCTTGAAATTCTCTTATTCTCTCTATAGGTTTAATACGCTTTAGGTTTATAAAAAATTTTGGTGTTTAAATAAATTTTTGTTTAAAATAAAGTGTTAAATGTTTTTTTTGCCTATCTTTAAAAATTTATTAGATAATAATATTTAGATTTTTAAAAAATATATTTTTAAATAATATTTTATTATTTTAAAATATCAGTAAATAATAAGTATGATACATGTCACTTAACACTATTTTTTTAACAATAAGAACTTAAAATTATAACAGAAAAATGTTAAACATCAATTTTTAATAGAAAATTTTTAAACATCAAAAATCAGTTTTAATATAGTTTAAACGTATATTTTAACATTAAGTCTCTCGATAAATATCGTCCTCTAATCATACTTCCTAATTTGCTGTTGAAATATAGCAATAGTAGCACATCGGATATATACAATTTTTTTAAATCTAAATTTTAATTTGAAGGTGTAAATTTGCTTTAAAATTTGTTCTTTGTGGTTGGTAAATTTAAGCTGGTCGTCCCAATTTGATCTAAAATTATATAAAAGCTTATATCGTACAAATCAAGCTACCTCAGTAGTTGAAAAATTGTTGTTATTTCTTGAGGTTTCGAGTTCGAGCACTAGAAATATTAGGGTTGTGAGCGTTTAACTTCAAATAATTGAGAGTTATATTTGAACATATATTATCTTGTACTTACCCTAGATTAATAAAAAACATATTAATTAGTAAAAGTAAACCAAATTAATTCACATACTAATTATGACATATATTAATTCATTTACCGGTTAGAGATATCACTGAAAAATTGGATATTACAGTAGTTATTTATTAAGGACTAAAAGGGGGTTCTTATACTCCTCACACTGCTCGACGAATATGCCTAAAACATGTGTTGATATCGTTAACACTGCCGAAAGCGTTGAAGGTTATTCTAGCCCAGTCCATGTCATAAGAATATCCATGGAATACGCCTAAAGCTTCTCGTTTGAATTTTGATGATGACCACAAACGTCCAGCGTCCATGGAATACGCCTAAAGCTTCTCGTTTGAATTTTGATGATGACCACAAACGTCCAGCGTATCGAGATCACGTGATTTGTGATCCTGAAATAGCCCAAATCCATGAAAATGTTACTATCACTAGCCTGGCCTGGTCTTAAAGCTCAAGGCAGCGATTTCCTTCACAACTTGAGCCTTGTCCGCCTCAAACTGTTTGTCAGCTGCAAGAGATCCATTTGGAAAAGATAAATACAAGTGCCAAGCCTATAAATTTACATGGATTTTTTTTTTTTGGTTACCATATTGTACCTTTACCAGGCTTGAAATCAGCAAACGGAAAGGAAATGGTGAGCCATTTAATGTTTCAAATTACTATCCAAGTGACCCAAGCGGAAAGGAAATTCAACACAGTACCTTGAAAACATGAAAAGCTTCTAATTGGATTGCTCTTGCTTGATTCCTGCGTAAAAGGGATTCCATGTTTAGTGTTTGAATTTTATAGCTGTGTTTTAATACTTGAACAAGAAAATCTCTGTGATCGCAGCTACTGTAGCTGGTAATAGCAATAAGCCAGTACTACACGACAACCATAAACCCATAAACTAAATGAATTACAATATTTGCAGACTTAGGTCTAGACAATAGTCGATGGAGGCTAAAGCTTCATGCCGAGTATAGTATATTGTTGGAATAATCTAAACCATGACATCAAGCATCAGAAAAATAACATTTGGGTAATAAAAAATGAAAGCAAAAAATCTGAGGAAGTATTTATATGATGTCATTGTTTTCCTTTTTGTCCCCTAATCAACTATTTATATGATGTAAATAAGGCAAAGGGTGTGGGCATTGGGCAAGACGGAAGAAGGCGAATTGATGTAATTACACAGTGGTGCAATGACATCTAGACTCACAGAAATCCTTTAAATTCCCCCCCACATTTCTCGTTACTAATTTCTGCTTCTGTTTGACAGAGTACAAACATCACATGTATGTATATTCCTGAGGATGGTGGAAAAGAAAATAAATAATTTTGCATTATTCCGTGTAGATGGTCTAGTAGGATAAGGTATCAAATTTTTTAAGTGATGTCAGTGATTTGAATCTTCAATTGTAAAAAAGAAAAGAGAATTGTGAGCGTCATTCTCGTAAAGATTCGATCAATATATTGTATATCAGTAATTAAATAAAAATTTGTAAAAAAATAGTAATTGATAAGATTTATGAACTTAAATTGATTCTTTATTATTTATATTTAATTCATATTTAAACTTTTAAGAGCCTATTATTGATATAAAAGGTAGGTGATTTATATTAAACAGTATAAATTTAACAATTAAATTATCAAAATGTTACCATTTGAAAACTGAGTGACTTTTATATAAATTATCCTGATTATAGTTGGTTTACAAAATTTATACAAATTACCCCAATTATATTTTTTTTACAAATACTCCTAATTATAATTTATACACTTTTATATAAATACGATTCAAGGGATCTTAGAGGAATGGTCGTTATCCCTAGATGTCTCAATTCACACACTTATTTGTTGGAATGTTTGAACGTTCATCGTTAAATAATTGTCTTTCGAACAGATACTACGTTCTAATCACAATAAATCATCTTAGACTAATCAAAAAGTAATTATTTTACAAACTACTTGTAAAAAATGACAGGGTAGAAGTATTTTACCTTTTAAAACTTTGTTTCCTTTGTCTTCCTTAATTTTCCCCTTAAAATTGAGATGATTTTTTTTAGAAAACAAACAATATTCAATTTCCTCACTTTATTTTATTTAAATTTATTTAAATAAAAGAAAGAACGATGTTTTTTCTTACTTTTATTTCTCTTCTCTCATTCTTGATAATTATTGTGCTTAAAATTAAAACATCAATGAATAATAACAAGTTCTTTTATCATTAAGCCCCGAATATTACAACACATATGTAATGCTGTATAAATACATATACCGAAATACAAACTTAGTAGAGATCACACCACACCATGTCAAACTGAACCACACACCAATCACCGTGATATGTGACGTGCGCTTAAATTAATACTTATATGTATCAAACCCGAAATAGAGCGAAAAGAATTTAGAAAAACTCCTCGTCACACATCCATCTTCCATACTTACCGTAAACAAATAATAGACGCAGCAGAAGTTATCCCCTTGTCTACTCCTCAGCCTTTTCAACTGGAACTTGTTCTTCTTTCTCAGAAACTCCCTCCTCTGCTGGTGCTTCCGTCTCTGCCTTCACTTCTTCTTCTGTAACTGTTTCGGCCTTCGCCTCTGTAGTCTCTTCTTTCACATCATCAGCAGCGGCTGCCTTCTCTTCCTCGTCAACTTTGGCTTCTTTGGTATCAGCTTCAGGAAATCCTGTTGTTGCTTCCTCTTCAACGAGGGCTTCTGTTGTTGCTTCCTCTGCTTTTTCCTCCTCCTTCGGTGTACTCTCATCAACCAGGGTCACCTCTGCTGTCTCCTTCTCCGGCATTGCCGTTGATGTTTGTTGAACCTGCAAGGGAAGGCCCCCGTATCATTGAAAATAAATGACGGATTAAGATATTGATGTTGCTCTAAATCAATCTTATATTAATTCCAAGCAAATTTCATTACCTCAACACTGGCCATTGGAATGATTAGGCGAAGCAAAGCAGAAGAAAATATTAAAGAAATGGAGAAGAGGAAGATCTTGAAAGTGCTCTGAGGGAAGCGAATGGACGGAGAGGTATTTATAGGATGTAAATGACTGATTTTTGTAATATAAAATAATTGGACGATAACAAGCTGACACACCTCCGTCTCACTTACTCTGGACATTACCATTGTTCATGTTCCTACTTTTCTCATCAATAAAGTATTCATTTGATAAGGTTTCTGATATATATATATATGCATATTATGATATGAAGTATGCTGGGTAGGCTTTCGCAGAACCTAAAAGACATGCGACATGCAAATAATCTCTCATAATTCGATTATTTGTATATATAAATATATCAATTTGGCATTTGAATGGCATCAAAAGCCAATCTCTTTTTATTTTTTTTGTTCTGTTCCTCCGATTGTTGTTAGTATAGTGTTATTCATGTTACAAACCAAATAATTTTACAAAATAATAATTAATAAAGCAATGAATGAATAAATTAAGTTCTGAAATTAATGTTGAGTTTGAGTTCAATTAAAATTGATTTTGATTAGATATAGTAACTGATGTATCCGTGATGCATGTATTATAAGAAAATGGACCAATGGCCAAACAAAAGAAGAAAAAGGAAAGGGCAGGCAAGAGTGTAGGACGGTGGCAAAGCAACCAAAAAGGCCCCACTCTCCCAACTCATTTTTTTAAAATTTGCTGCATTTTTTGCATATGGTTTCGGAAGATGGGTTGTGTCATGTGAATGATGCCCCTCTGCTTTTATCCTGGCCCTCTGATTTGCCGCGCATCATCCCAACGTGGTCCTCTCCTCATAAAAAGCCATTAAGCCTTCCTTCGTTTTATTCCAAAACAACATTTCTTCAAATCTCATCATCATCATGTTCCATGTTTTTCTGTCCACCTTGTTCTAGGCAGTTTTGAGTAATTCAGTTGTTGAAAGTGGTTTCAAAATCTTAACCATATTGTGAAATCTATTTACATCACAAATTAGTCTGAAATTCGAACAAAGATGATTCGGTTACATCTTATTGCCAGCACCAACGCTAATGATGTTCATGAGAACGTTCGGTGTTTGTGTGCCTCGTGTGACATGGCATAGGGAATAAGCTACTGAGCTTTGATGATGATATATCAATCGATTTGATTTGATGGATGGAGACCGAGCTCGTGAGTCGTGAGTATCTTTTGAGGTTCTTTTTACGATTCAACAATCTGTCGCTCTAAATATGCACATCCAGCTAGCATAGCAAGGCCCCGTGGACCGATGCTCAAAGTTAATGGCAGTGAAGGAATGAATAGTACAATCTATCTTAAATAATTATCAATAATAATTTTAAAACCAATCTGCAGCTTTTGCTAGCAGCAAAGAAATAAGAACCGGGGCAGATTAAAGGTTTCTGTTCGTGATTAAGTGAGCCTTTTTGAAAGGTTATGGGCCAACAAGATATTTTAAAGTTTCGGATCACCATTATAAAAGTTAGCCGAATGCAATGCTAATGATTTGGGTCTTCAAATAATTCAGACAGCATGATGACGGTTACTAGAAACTGAGTACAAACATTAAGTCATCCCCCACGGTAGGTTGACAAAGAAGGCTTCCCTATATATATTACTAAGCCATAAAAAATTATGAAGCAAGTCGTCTTCTAGCTTCTAAAGCCTAAAGACATGGTTCCTCAAGGTATTTCATCTATCAGGCAAACTTCACCTCAACCACCCTCTTCTGAGAGCTGTTTATATGTTCCAGAGGTGTTCACCTGATGAGCTTTTTCCACACTGCTTCAGCCGATGCTCAAATTTAGGGAGTGCACACTCATGTTGTACAATATCAAGACCATCTTTCTCAGCACCGTCTCTAATAAGAATGACAATCAACGTATTTGGAGGCATGCAATGTCAAGGAATCAAACAAAATCTTTTTTATTCTAAATTTCTGTACAGGTTGCTTTATAGATTTAAATTATTCAACCAAATAAAAAAGGCAATGCCCTTCCAGGATAAATCTATTATCAAAAAAATTAAACCAGATATCAACCACAAAAACAGTTTGGTTCATTGAACGTAGTTGTAATCATTTTCGCTGTTGATTTGATTGCTTAGCAAAGCAAAAGGGTACAGGAACACAACCTGGGGCTGTTGAGGAAAAGCACTGCCTGAAATTCCTACCACAAGGATTCTCAACAGGTAAATATCAAACCCCCAAAGTATGGGCGGTTCTAAATTGTAGAGTAAAAAACAAAAATCTTTACTAAAAAGTTTATCATTCATGATAATGCCTCAAAAAGACAGAGACACATTTTTTTTATGAAGAGCTTGACCCACATATACATCAGGGCAAACCTATTTAAATCGGGCAGTCCAAGCTGCACAGAGATTAGAGACACAAAAGATTGTGGTAGCACACTGATGGGGCAGTGTTGGTTCATCATCATAGGAATGGAATTCCAAATTCCCTGTCTAAACAATCTCCTAATTGACAAGCAAGTATTGCGGACAAGATCAAATCATTAACAAACCGCCCAGCCCACAGCAACAGCAATCATTTTTCCCTTGGCTAAAAGGCTAACACCCATGTGTCTCCAACATTTAAGATCACACTAGTTATTCTCCTAAGAGATATAATAAAGAATTCTTAGTCAATTGAAAAAAAAAAGACGGATACAATATCAAAAAACTGTGCCTCCACAAAACAGCTTGGGGATGAGTAGAGAACTTGTCATAAATGTATGTATATAAGGTGGCAAACCATTGTTCCCTGTACGACCAATTAAATTCTAAGCTCAAGGACTCTTTGGAAGACAAATTGTCCAAACTATGAGGCTGACACCCATAAGTTCTATTATTCTATATTCCCTACTAAATACCATTTAAGGTGTTATCATAAGCTTGTCTACCAAAACAACCCTAAGAAACTTGAGTATTTCAAAAGGATTTCAACTAGACTAATATCAAAATGTTAATAACTTGGATAAAAATTCTATTTTGCTTCACATGCTACTTATGGGGGGAAATCTCCATTACACGAAAATAACAGGTTTTGACGAATATAATACCTTTGATGGATCAAAACCAAATCCACTCATTTGCATCATTCGTTGTGTACCATCCATTGCTGTTAAAAAAATGACGACTTTCATTAAGAAACCTACAATAGATGATAAAATCCAAGAACTGAAGAAAGTTCTGATTGCTATCTATATAAAAGATCATATAAAGTTCATGATCTAACACTAACCATTTTCCTCTCCTAGAATCAGACTAAATAAACCCCTCAAACCAAACAAATTGAGGAAATACCTAGATATGAAATAATTTGTCAATAATTGGTGTAATACTTAGTCAAGAAAGTATCTCAGAAAAGAATAGATCATAGAGGGGAAAAAACAATTAAAAGAAACTTTATGAAGAGCTTCTTGCATACAAAATAAGACCAATACCATGAACGGCGACTAACATAGGTCACATCAACTGTGCTAAGGTCAATTCCATTCTGCAACATTGATCTGAACCTCTGAGTCAATGGGAAGGGTATTTTAGCTGCAAGAGAGAAAACAAATAGAAGAGGCAACCACATTATCATTACCAACAGCGCAATAGTACCAATAAATAAAAATCTTAATAACACTAACATGATCACTTGAGTTAGACTTCGATTGTCACACAACAAAATATTGTGTCCATCACCATGCAGAAAGAATGAAAATGGAACAGATCCAATCAAATAGGAAAGGGATTAACTTTGGAAAATTCGGTATATCAGATACATGAAACCAATTTTGTGCACAGATAGCATGAAAACGAAAATACTTGGAAATTTTGGAACTAAAAAAGTAGTAAAGGGCCAGACTTGCAACAAATCCAGAGAAGAAGAAGTTGACCCATGCAAAAGTGAGAGTCTGACAACAGCAACAAATAAACAGTGAGTTCTATAAAATGAGCAATTACACCAAAGCATACGAACACCAAAGGTGCAAGCACCACAAAAATACCTGAGGTATAATCATAGAGAGGTTTTTCTTCATCATATCCGTAGCCATATTAGGGTCAGAGAACATTTGAGCTTGAGCATTTTGTGCCTGCCCCCTGGGGACAAACAGTAATCCATTTTCCTACAAAGTGCCACAAAATTAGCTTTAGTTTATTCCTCTCTGAGAAGGAAACGAACTTACACTTGATGGATTGTTTTCATGAATTTGAACTGATTTTTACAAAGCTTAATATTAGCATATCCATAGCCTATTGATTAGTTGCAATCCCAACAAAATAATAATTCATCTACGGCTAATGAGCAATCGGCTAACAGCACAATAAGCTCTAAATAAAAGAAGAAAAACAACAAAAAATAAAAAGTTCAAAAAAAGGCAATTACTAGTAATAATTGTGGTCACAGAAGTTATAAAAGAAGAAGAAGAAGAAGAAGAAGAAGGCAAACCTCATTGCTGAAATAAACCCTACGTGAGCGGAAGGACTTGGGAGGGATAAAATTAGCAGCAGCTGGCAAATTCCGAGCCCGAACAATTACTTGCCTGGAAATATAAATTCGGGAATCGATGAATCTGAGACCTATTTATCTTTGCCGAATTTTCGTTATACAAAAAAAAAAGAGGTTGGAGAGAAATACCCCTCTTTGACTATCTTAGGATCAGGAAGTTGAGAGGAGCGCATGAGCTTAGACACAAAGTAGCGGAGGATGCCAATAAGAACCATCACCACCGATAGGGGTATCAGAACCCAATCTCTGATCGCCGTATCCAGCACCAGATTTTTCGCCATGATCACTACTATTTCCTCCCACGACGCGACGAGAGTTCCACTTATTTTTTGTTCCTCTGCTTCTTTACATGTATCCAATTGTTTGAAAATAATATTTTTGTAATCATTGTTGTTTATAAGGGTAACATTATACAAAAGGTTACTAAAGTATTAGTAACTTTTCATTTTAGTCATTAATGTTTTTAAAATTACATCATGATCACAGCGTTATAAATTCGTAGACGTAAGGCTAATTTATTTAATTTTGTGCAGGAGACCAAACTAGTGTCCTGACACATGAGGCATTTAGAACATTTTATGGTCAATAAGTATCATTTAGACATATCCACGTCATTAATTTATCATTGTATTACAAAGTATTTCTAAGAATGTCTTCGAGATTAAAAAATAATTTTATGATTAAAATAAAATACAAATGCTAAAAGAAAACAATATCAGTCATTCAAAGTATGACCAATCATTTAATGGACAACACCCTGTGAACTTGCTCCTAAAAGAATCCAAAATTCCTTTTAACAATAGTTAGTTGAAACCGCAAATAAATATTTAATGTTGAGAATTGAGGAACTTAGCCTAGTGGTTTAGTCTTGGTTTGCATATTCATCTGAAAAAGTATAATGTTGAGACAATATTATAAAATTTGATTCGACCTATATACTTCCTCTCAACTCAAATAGCAGATCAGGGCAGTGAATCAGCAAGATATGCCAAAAGGCCCAAAATTATGCGCAATTTCTAAACCCAAACTATCACGGGTCATCGTTCTCGACCCGAACCCCATCACTTGGCTTCCAATCTCTCACGGCCTCCCGCAATCAAATTGTTGATCTAATTGAAGCTCTCTGCCTAAGAATCTCGAGGAGACGCCAGATTTTCTTGGCTTTTCTCCTCATATGAACATGGACAGGTAGCACCAGAATCCCACACTTTCACCAATCTATATCTTTTCGCCCCTTATTTTATTCTGGCCACTTCATGTTTGATTGCTAACAATTGATTGAATCTTTTGGGCAGGCTGGTTACAACTCGGAAGTTTATGATTTTACAGCCGATAGTTTGATTATTGGAATTGGTATTCACAACCCTAGATATTGAAAACAATCAACTAGTATGATTCAAAGAATTTGTCCGTTTACTCTAATTGATATTTACTGTTCAAGTACTTTGTGCATATAATTTTACTGGTTCAAGATTTGGTCGTCTAATATTTTCGAATTCTTATTAACTTGTCGACAATGTATATATTTCTTCCAACATAATCTTTTAAATCCGGAATCTTTAAAAAATAATATATTTTATCACCAAATCCATTCAATAAATTCTCTTATAGTATATTAATTGGGTTTTGTTCTTTAGATTATATTTAAGCTTAAGGAAAGCTTAAATTACCTTAAAATTCAAGGATAAGAGAGTTAGATGGAATTAAAGAAAAGAAGGGAACAAGTGAAATATTGATAGAAAGATATTAATTAGATTTCAAGACCAAATTTGACTTGTAAATAGTGGAATTAAGAAGTATAAGGTGTTAGAATTGGAATTAGAACATGTTGGAAATTGAGTGTGATTCTTGAATGCCATATAAAGGATATGATGTTGAGTTTAAAGAAGTGATTATTGAGTAGAAATGAGTTTAAGTTATGATTATTAAAAGAGGTGAAAGATGAAGAGTTGAGATGAAAAGAGATTGAATTTAGTGCTTAAAATGGAATTTCTGGGTTGTGTGCATCGATGCATCTTCAATGTGTATCGATGCACTCTCAAATAAATAAACATCGAATGCAATTAGTGCATCGATGCATAAGGAGTGCATCGATGCACCCCCTTAAGATTAAAATATCGAAGGTGATTTGTGTATCGATGCATGAGTAGTGCATCGATGCACATGTTAAGGGATGCATCGATACACTATAGAATGTATCGATGCACTTCAATGGGAAATGGAATAAATATTTCTTTCAGACTAAGAAGTGATAGATTATAGTATATCAATTGGATACTGATAGTATAAATACATGATTGTGTAGACATCGATCGAAAGCAAAGTTTGGATAGGTCGTCAGAGTAAGATTCGCAAGAAAGAACAAGAACTTGATAGTGTTCATTGTGACCAGGTGAGTACATGATATTAACTGTATGTTATGTTAAGGAATTAAGACTTGCGATGAGTCTAATTCCGATATTATGTGATATGAGTACTGAAGCATAAACATGTAGTGATATGGTGCTAGATGTATTATATATGAGTAAATGCGTATGTCTAATTGTTGAATGCATCTTTATACGTGAAGTATGTAAATGCATGTATTTATGATAATAGGTCTTATGATCATAAGATATAGGATAAAATATATGTGAAAGTAATATGACTCATATGTGTTTCTATTAGAATGTCATATGATATGTTATGTATGTGATAATTGAATGAAGGGATTATATGAGAACATGTGTTATGAGATAAGAATCAGGACTATGAGCTATGTGAAAAGGAATACAAGTAAAAAAGAAAAGCTATGTGATAAGTGAATGTGAATTACATGGAAATATGCTATGTGAAAGTGAACTATGTGCCTACGTGAAAATATATGAAAAGATATAAAAGGTAATGCCCATGTCATGTGTTATGAAATCTATAAGTATAGTTGGCATGCCAATAGTCGAGGGATTATCAGTGGTCCTTCGGGACACAGTGGTCCTTCGGGACATAGTGGTCCTACAGGACAAATTCTACGCGCCCCTAGTGGGATTTATACGAATTGTGGTGACAACATTGTGCACAACCTCTATGTACTCACATACCTTAAGTTCTCAATAGTGTGCATGGGCTCTGAAAAGAAAACATAATTTGATATAATGATACGTGTGTTTCTCGTGAAATGGTACATGTGATATGTGATATGTATAAGTGATAAGTTAGGATTATAAGATAATAATGGTAACAAGTGCATATGTGTAATGGTGATATGAGATGTTATATGGTTATGTATGATATGATCATAGTAATTATTCATGTATTGTTGTGTTTTAAAGTTATATTATACATTTATGTTCAATATATGCTCATATGATGGAATTGAATTAATGACAAGGAAATAAGTAAGGATAAACATGTTAGTGATGAGTTCAATAGGTATATAAGTATAATGTGTATTACATAAGATGTTCATGCATTTGTTAGTTTACTTTATGTATTTACATGTCTCACTAAGTTTATGACTTAGTGTGTAAGTGTCTTACACGTAGGTGTGGATAAGTCAGAAGATCAAGCTTCGGATTCGTAAAGCATCATATCTCTGCGCAAAGTTCATATCAGAAATATTTTGTAAAGTATGTCTTGTCATATAATTTAGTACGTTGGCATGTAACTAAGTCATTAAAAATGTACGCTTTGATGGAGTCTGTTAAGGTTTTAACATGTTTATGTAAAAGAATTTCTTTATAGAATAAAAGTTTTAAATTTTTTATGGTTTATTTTATAAAAGTATGTACTTTGACTAGTCAATGTGACACCTTGGATTCGTATCTGGGTCGGATACGGATTGGGGTGTTACAATTGCCGTTTCAAATTTAAGCAAGTTAGTTGTTGTTGTTGATTACATGCATTATGAGGACAGAGAGAGATGGAAGCAACGTGCAGAAAGCGTTTGTTTTGCTCACGTCCAGTTTCAGAGTAGGCTTCTCAATCAAGACAAACCAGCTTATCACTAATCAATTATGAAATTGGGTATTTTCTGTAACTATGCATGTGATTGGTTGATTCAAATTGATGATTGTTTATCCACGAATCAGGCTATATTATATCACGGCATGCAGGGACTTCTATGTTCCTGTAATCTTTCTGCGGGTTCTTCCGATCAATATTGGATTCATCATTTATCCGGGTAACAAGTTGAAATGGAGATATGAGATTAAGACCTGGAATTACTAAAGTTTCAAAAAGTACGATAAACTGCATGGAGACCAATTAATTATGGGGTGGTTCTAATTTAACCATTGATATGTACGAATCGAGCGACCTTAGTGTTAAAGGAATTATTGTTATTTCTTGAGATTTCGGCTTTGAGCACCAAGAATGTTAGGAGCGTGAGTGTTTAATATCAAATAATTGAGAGTTATCTTTAAACAGATATTGCCTTGTATTTATCTCACATTAATAAAAAATCATTGATCTATTAATTTTTTCAATCAATTACATAGTTATGTAAATGATATTAATTAAATCATATATCGTTAATATTTAACAAGTAAACTAAGGTGACAATTAAAAATTAGTAAAATTACATATTTGAATCAAATTAAAATAAAAATCAAATTTATAAAATATATAAATAACAAATATCAAATATATAATCATACCTATTTTAATTGCCACGTCAATTTATGCGTTCAATACATGCAATTCTCCTCGAAATTCTGGCCTCCTGTAAAATGTCATAGAGATAAGGCTAAACTGTGTGTGAAGCCAAGGAAGCGACTTTCACAACCTGTCCAAAGGGTTGCAGCTTGCAAGTAGGACATGTAATTGAGAAGCATCACTTAGAAATTAAAAAAGGTTGGGAAAAAATAAATTTAATCGATGTATTTAATATTTATATTAAAGGGTAATATATATATATATATATATATATATATATATATATATATATATATATATAATTCATGAACTTTTAGAGCATTTGCATTTTGGTCACTGAATTTTTAAAATTTACAATACAATTATCTACTTTTAGTTCATTTTCATTTCTATCCCTGTTGTTACCTCTGTTAGATTTTTGCTGACATGACAGATAACGCTCGTTAACCCACCCCCTCCTCCTCCTCCTCCTCCTCCTCCTCTCTTCCTTCTTCTTCTACCTTTGAAAATCCTAACCTTAAAAAAAACAAAAACTTAAAAATCATAACCCCATTAAAAATCATAACCTCCACAAAATCATAATCCCAAATAAAACTACAAGTGAGAATAGTAATTATATTTAATTAAAATGTAGAAACGAGAATAATTAGGATAAAATAAGACTAGGCTTGTTTGAATGCTCGAGAAACGACCAATACACCCGAATTCCTTTAGAAAAGATAGTTGAGTTGAAAGTATAGTTCCAGTTTGAATATATTGTTAAGGAGTACGCAAGGCACTTAAAGTTGACTAGTTTGGGCGCAAGGTCCGACACTCAAGGAGTGGGCTAATGAAGAGTGTGGTGCCCGATGCAGAGATTCTGGGGACTAGAGGGGTGTGTGAGCTCCGAGATGTAGAACCCTCAGCCACACCATTATGTCTACAATAGAGTGTGAGTATACAAGTATACTCACTAAAGCAGAGCAACAGACATGATAGCTTGAGCCTTTTAGTGATATATAGTTAGTATGATTTAGTTGTTAGTGTGACACTGAGTTAGTTAGCTCAACGTTTGGAATTTGTTTCCTTACACATATTAGGTGGAGCAACTGAGGAGCTTTAGAGTGATCGAGGTCCAGACCAGAGCATATCAATGTACATCTCATCATTTTTTAAAGGCAAGCATATTTATAAACCCAGTTGTATAATTGAGTCGTAAATATATTTTAAAGTCGATCTGTATTATTATTTTTAAATGTAAATTATTTTATTTTGGGAGCTCTCCAATGTACAATTTAATTATATTTTTATAGTTAATTTTAATCGAGAAATAGTCATTTTAAGATAATAAAAAAAAGAAATGAGTTGATCAGCCCATTCTAATTAGTCAACTGTGTGTCGTATTGGTATAGGTGTTACATGTTCTCTCTCCTCTCTCTATCCGATCGTCGTAATTGGGACAATATCTATTTATCATATTTCCTTGAGAGCCTTGAACTTTTTGTTGGATCCATATCTCTCATTTGTTTAAAATGTTCAGGTTTTCGAATCTTTTGGTTATGTGGAGCTGATCCAGTTGCCTCTTGATGAAACCGGTCATTTTAAAGGTTTGGTTTTGTCCAGGTAATACTTAGTGAAGCAACCTGAGAAATTATTGGGATTTTTCTTTAGCAAATCCTTAACCCATATTTTATAGAATCTTTTGCTTTGACATTACAAAGTTATGTTTTTGCTCTATGTTGATTAACTATAATTAACTGTTTGTAATCAAACAGTTCTTTTTGGGTATGATACTGCAATTATTATTGACAGCAAGGATTCTGTTTTGAAAGGATAATGAAAGGATACTGAATTTGAATGGACAGCTGGAGATTGGGGGTCAAGTAATCAAGGTAATCACGGGTATTGATGTCTCAGTTTTGAAGCCGGAGAATCTGCTCTCAGTGCTTTCTCGGAACACTTGAAACAAAATGGGTTATTATTGTACACAACGTGTGGAACACCAGCGTATGTTGCACCTGAAGTTATCTCTAAGAAAGGATACGACGTATCTAAAGCGGATATTTGGTCTTGTGGGGTGATTCTTTACGTTCTTCTTGCTGGGTTTTTTACCATTTCAAGACGATTACTTGGTGGCAATGTATAGAAAGATTTAAGAGGAGATTTCAAGTGTCCGTCATGGTTTTCCCCTGAAGCTCACAGGTTAATCACTAATCTTTTAGATCCCAATCCAAGTTCACGAAAGTTGGAAAGAAAGAGAAAAGGGGAGGGAAGAAAGAAAGAAAGCTAGTGAGAAGCTAGAGAATCAATGAGTTGGAAGCTATGGAAAAGAAAAGTGAAGAAAAAGAAAGAAGAAGAAGATGGGCTGAGGAAGATGGGTTGGATCAGAATGATTGTCAACTATTTATCACTATATAATGATTTAGTTGTGTTTTTTTTAAGGTCTATTAATAACTATTAATATTGAGTGATTATTTTATAATAAGCGATAATATTAATAAATGATTTGTGATTTTTTAAATATTAATGATAAAAACGAACATTACTATTAATATTGAGTGATTATTTTATAATAAGCGACAATACTAATAAATGATTTGTGATTTTTAAAATATTAATGATGAAAACGAACATTATTTTAAATATGAGTGACCAGTTTACCCATATAAAAGAGTCATCATGAACCAAATTTGCGGCTATGCTTCTCCGCTTGTCATTACGTGAGAATGGAGACGTCCAAGACCCAGAAAGTTCCACCTACACTAGCTATCATGAATGAAAGATGTTTGGAATGAAATGGATGCCGTCAATTCATGCATGGTTTCGTGCCAAATTTGATTCGCCATTCGTATTGATAGCATTTTGAACCGTGTAACTTCCTTTGTCCGTTTCCATGGTTACTGCATAAACCAAGTGACCATTTCCCTTGGAGATCACTACCCAGAGATGATGTAACTCTAGCAGCCCAATTTTTCTTCATTTCCATTTAATGGTGGAAGTATACAAGAAAACCAATTATAGTTCGCAAGTATTTATGCCATGTATTCTCAGAGAGTTGATACAATCATGGGAGGATAAAATCATATATATTGAATAAGGTTGATCACAAAACCAAAATATCGGTCAGATAACAATGGGATTTTGAATTTTATTCTGATTAACTTGGTGAAAAAACTGATGCAACGGCAATGATGTTGCAATAGCCTTGGGGTATTTTAACTTTGCACCAAGAATATTAAGCCAATTTGATGCAATGGCGATAGTGCTGCAATGGGTTTTACTGTTTTAAGTCTTGAAGAAGCTTCTACCTGTTCCAATCATGCTTATCGCTTAGCATAATTATCAGATTGGATGGGACCAAAACCATTCAACATCAGCTGGACCTCATGAAGAATATAGGTTCTCCCATGTGCTCGTCCATTTTATATTTCTCGCGTTGCACCTTCAAAATTCTGTAGCAAATCGCATATTGATGTTCGTTATTTCGTCCCACTTTATTTGTATATTTCTATAGATTCCCCACTGATGAAAAGAAAAGCATGAGCAGAGGATTATTTTTTGCTGAATGTCAACTTTAAAATATGCTCTTTGAGAAAAGAATATCATATCAATCAAACCAGGGTTAGGGAAATAAAGGGAGAATATTGTACCAGCATTTTCCACGAGACCTTGTTGCTCTGCTTTTCGAATCAAATATATCTTTTAGATACAAATCTTTAGCTTAGTAAACAGCCAGCCAGCCTTGTCTAGGGTAAATGTTCGATCGAGTTGAATTGATTCAAAAAATTTCAAGTTATTCGAGTTGACAAGTTATATTTTACAACTAGGAGTTGTTTATTTTTTTCGAGTCGAGTCGAGTCGAGTCAATTTTTCTAGTTTTTGTTTAAATTTAATTGTAAATATTTATAATATTTTTTTATTCTAATTTAAATGGCTTTCTATAACCATATATACAATACAAATATATATATTTTTTCATATGTGATATACATATATCATATAAAATTGAAGGACTCGACTCAAACTTGAAAATTAATATATTAATTACTAAAAATTTTGAGTTATTCGAGTTATATTTTACAACTCGGTTTGAACTTGAAATTTTTTCGAGTAAAGTCGAGCTTATGAAATTACAACTTGAAGTTAATTCGAGTCGAGTTTTTTTTCGAGTTGAATCGAGCCGAAAAAATTAATTTTTCAAGTCGAGTTTTGAGCACCCATGTATTTCTCAATTTTGTTTCTTTGAAGAACATAAATTGTCATTGAACATCAAAATCAGTCACCAGATAAACACTATCACATTTCCAAATTTGATCATTTGATAGGTATATATGAGAAAATTCCAGACCAGGGAATAAAAGGCAAGCTCTAAACAATAGCCTTTCGATTTTTCAAGATTAGAAGAAAAAAAGGGTTACATTTTGATTTTGGTCCCTCAACTATAATTAAATATGAGATTTAGTTTTTTTTTAATTTATCATAACTTGATCCTTTTATTTTTATAATATCACTAGTTAATCCGATTAATTTAAAAGGCTACTTTAATTTAACTTTAAATCTTGATGCGATTTTCTAAAAGCATCACTTAATGAGTTAAAAATAGATGTTTTTAAGAACAAAAAATAATTCAATATTTTCATCGAATAGTGATATTGACTTTTTGAACTAATTAATGATATTGTACATTAACCGAGCGACCTCAGTGATAAATGAATTATTGTCATTCATTGAGATCTTGAGTTCGAGCACTAGAAATATCAGAGGTATAAGCATTCAATGTCAATTAATTGAGAGTTATCTTTGAACATATATACTTACCCCATATTAATAAAAACAAAATGAATGATATTGTAAAAATAGATTATTAAAATATATTAAGATAAAGTATACAAGGGATGAAGATCACAATTTACAAAAGTAGAAGGGTGGAAAATGTAAACTGTTCAGAAGCATGTTTCTACATGTGACCAGAAATATTTTGTTCTCCAGGAAAAAGGAAATTAAACCAAAAAAATTTACACAGCTGTTTTGATAGCATTTCCCTTCGAGTAGGAAAGGTTTATTTTTCAAATATTATTTTACTACACAGTTTGCGCTTGGCCGCCTCAGCCTTTTGTTACTTTTATTATTCTATTCGTCACTCTTTCGCTTGCTCTCGGGTTTCCAAGTTTTACTGCAAGTGAAAGCTAAACCAAGGTTTCTAACTCTCTCTTGCTCTCATTCTCCTTTAATGTTTGCTGCTTTAGATTGATCGCTGGTTTTCGATCCTTAGGTTCAAGAATTTGAGGGGTTTTTTTTTCTGCTTCAGATTTGATTTGTAGTGGTTATTGCCGTTATTTACCATGTCATATTTAAGTTTAGTTGGTTTACTTTGCTGGGTTTGTGTTATTGGATTCATTTCTATAGGTTTCTGTTTTTAATTAGCTTAAGATTTTGAGTAGAGTTCTATTTCTTAAAGCTTGCTGTTGCTGGTGGAAACTGGAATTTTAAATTGCAAATCTTGGACATGAAAAGACTAATAGAGGTAGTATATGACTGTCTGTTTACTGTAACTGGTTACTTTCTTTCTTGGTTTAGCTATCTTTTTATCCCTGACTTATAATCTCTTTACATAATTGCAATGTGATTAGGTTGTCGTTAAATCTGTGAAACTCTTGTTTGGCGTCCATCAAAACTTCACTTCATGGTTTGTGCCTAATTTTTAGTTAGAGTTTGTACCTTTAAAGTTTATAAAAGAAGGAATAAAGGTGTGGTCTTGTCAAGTATACCAACCCTGCACTTTCTCCGGTTCTCTCATCTTGTTGGAATACCACTATTTGTCTAAAAAAATACTTAAGCATCTGATTCCACTGTTATTTTTTAATAAGAAAAATACTTTTTGGTGTTTTTTGTTCTTTAGCTTTTGGACTTTTTCCCTAGGGAGTGGGTGGTGGGTGGCAACGGGGTAGCTCCTTACAATGAGAATGTGTTGGTTGGGACTGGTCTTTTCGATTGGTATAAATAACTACCTAGTGAGAACGACTTCATTATGAGGTAATAAAAAGCCTAAATATTTGGATAGTGAAAGAATACAGAAAACCATAATATATACATGATTTTGAGCTGGATAGAATTTTCTTATCTTTTTAAGATGAGATTTATTGAATAAAGAGCTTATTTTCTGGCTTTGTTATGTCTATTTATTAGTTTAATGGTTGGTCATTGTGAATGTAAGGCGCTGGATTTAACATGTTTCAGAAAAAGGAAAAGGCTGAATTGGTTGTCAAGACTGAATATTTTGCTGCATGAATGTTTAAGAGATTTTGATCTTCTTCTTTCTTGTTGCATGTTTTCTGCACCTAGCTGATTATAGCTTTTCTGTGAAATTTTGTCACCATTATTGTTTCCTAGATTTCATCTTTTTGTTACTACAACTCTTCTTCCAAGTAAGTTGCTTAATACGAAAGATCGCATTTCTTTCAGTAAGTTCCATTTGCTTCTCTTTTAGAGAGTGTAATTTAGGAGCAGCGCAGCAATTTACCCTGCACCAGAAATATATGTGAGGTTTTCCATTTGACGATCGACATCTAAGTAAAGACTAAAGAGCCATGGAAAAGGAGAATAATACAGCTGTGCCATCATCTGCTACTGCTAGAGTTCGGCACCGTAAACGGTCCAATGAGGTTGGTTACTCAAATACTAATGTGTTTTGCTTGGTTCCTTTTTCATGTCTATGATCATTGTTCCTGATGTTGCATTTGTAAAAGACGTTTTCCATTGTTAGCCAAGGAATATTTTCCCTCAACCTCATAAAATTTAAACATTCTATCAGGTTGTTCCAGAACCTAAAGCAAATGGTGGAAATTTTCTTGCTGATGACCGTAACAAATACAAATCAATGTGGATCCGCGCACACTCTACTGTTTGGATGATTGGGGGTTTCGCATTAATTGTTTACATGGGTCATCTCTATATTGGTTAGATTACTACTTTTACCTTCCATATGGCGACCAATACTTTTGTGCCATAAAAATTACTCTAAAATCTTACTTGCTTTCATCTGATCAGAATGTTCTTCGTTTTATGGGAACAGGCACTTCTTCTTCACTGCAATGTTTTTTGTTTATGGACGCCTTCTCAGCCAACCACTTGTCAATACTGTAACTTCGGACAAGTTTTTGTATCAGTTTGTTAGCAGCCTTGTCAAGTATCATATGGCTATCTGTTACTTCTTGTACATTGCAGGTTTGTTAAGCATTTTTGTTTTATGTTTTTAACGGAAGGGATGTTGGAAGAATTATGTCAAGAATTCATCTATTGATATCTTAAATTTCAATTTTGACCGAAGTTGGACTAGATGTTCTCAATTTCTGTAAATATGTTATTTTCTCATGTGTTGTATGGTTTTCTTGTGACTATTGATATCCTCATTATTATTATTTGGCTTTTGGGATTAGGTTTTATGTGGTTTATTCTTACATTGAAGAAGAAGATGTACAAGTATCAGTTTGGCCAGTATGCATGGACACATATGATTCTGATTGTGGTATTCACACAGTCATCCTTTACTGTAGCCAATATCTTTGAAGGAATTTTCTGGTAACTTTTCTTTCTCAGACATCCTTTACTAAATCGTACCTGCCTTGGTGCATTGCGTACCAGATGTGCACATACATGTGTGCATGGATAAAAAAGGAAAATAAAAAGTTCTAAAGGGTAAATTCTCTCATTAGTAACAAGTAAGCTGTTACCATCACCGAGCCACTGATGTAGTGATAAATGACTAGTGTTGCTGAAGTCCTTGTTGGCACTAGGTCTCGGGTTCAAACCTAGGCAACCCCTTGATAAAAAAATTGTAAACTGTTACCTCTTAAAATTTACAGCATTAATTGCATGCTTTTTGTATTATTGATTGTATTCTCTCTGTACTCTCCATCTCGTTGAACCAAAAGTACTTTCTTTTTTCCAGGTTTCTTCTTCCAGCATCACTTATTGTTATCAATGACATTTTTGCTTATATCTTTGGTTTCTTCTTTGGAAGAACCCCATTAATCAAGTTATCGCCTAAGAAAACATGGGAGGGGTTTATTGGAGCATCTGTTACAACTATCATCTCTGCATTTGTGGTGAGCATAGTATTTCCATATTGGTGTTCTCTCCATCTTGTCTTTGATAAGGGTATCATTTATCTTAAGCCAGTTTTACAGCAATACATTAGAAATTCACTAGTTGTACATATATGTGGAATGAAATAATGCAGGTTACTTGTAAATATTCAGGTTAATCCGGATCTGCATGAAAAGATTATTGCAGTGGTAGTCCGTTCTTACTTATTGCATGTCTGATCTAGCATTTTTAGCATGTCTGATCCTTCTAGTTGAATACATCATGGGGCCTGTCATTTTCACTATTCATATATTTTTCTTCTTTTTTCAGTGGCACTAACTTCTGGATTCATAGTTGTCATTTTATATTCCTGGACCAGTTTAATAGATTACATTTAACCTATGCGCTCACGGCATCCTTCTGAAGATCATTTGTGAATAATTTATCAAACGTGTTCTCTTTGGCATTCATGTGAAAAAGTCATCCTGAACCTGTAATCGAAAGATCTAATGCTAATGCTTTGATTAATTGTGCTGAATCAAGAATATTGTTAGCACTTTTTATTTATGTATGTATGTAATTTTCATATTTTCATTTTGCTTCAATAACCGGAGCACATGCCTTCGGTGGAACTGGGAAAGTTGTATTTTGTGCCTGTTGTTTGATGTATAGACTTCCATTATAGTACTTATCATAAACATGGAGTTTCTGCATATGCAGCTTGCAAATATCTTGGGTCGTTTCCAGTGGCTAACCTGTCCAAGAAAGGTAATTATTGGATTCGACCACTTCTTTGACCCTTCAATAAGCATGATGATTCCTTTGCCGAAAACTTAGTGTGTGAGGGTAATGCTTGCAGGATTTATCAACCGGTTGGCTTCAATGTGACCCAGGTCCATTGTTTAAGCCTGAGAATTTCTTCTTACCAGGATGGATTTCGCAATGGGTGAGCTTAATTAGTTGTCTCTGAATTTATCTTCCTAATTATTCCTTTTTAGTTGGTAAGGTTTGGTTTTCTTGGAAGAAAGGATTACACGTTTAAGTTTCCCATGAAAAAAATCACTTAAAATTTCTGGTATGATGGTTCTTGACTCGCTGTTTAAAGGGGAAAAGACTAGATGTTTGAATTGTGATGGACAATCAATAGAAAAGTTATCCTTCTTTGGATATGTATCTTGCTTAACAATTAACCATATCAACATATGAGATGCCATATTTCTCATTCCTTCTAGTTAAAGATCACAAGCCTTTTAAAATATCTTTAGCGTCTTTATCAATGCCCATCGATGATTATCACCTCAGATCAAAGTGCTTGAGTTCTTTTAACTCCTGGAGCCAAATTCTAAGGCTGGGAACTTTATTGTGGATGAATGTGGTTGCTGATGGATTGGATATGTTAAAACGCTAGTTATCTCATTGAAAACTCGTAATGCTATTGTCTCGGCTACAATGCTCTATCACTTGTTATACTTTTTCTTGGGCAGTTTCCTTGGAAAGAGATCTCTGTTTTGCCTGTTCAGTGGCATGCTTTATGCTTTGGTTTGTTTGCATCAATTATAGCACCTTTTGGGGGATTTTTTGCAAGTGGTTTTAAAAGAGCTTTTAAGATCAAGGTGTGGATTCCTTCCCTATTCTCTTTTCCCCTTTTTTTATATCTTTCTTTAAGATACCGACTCAAAGTATCTTATGTTAACTCCCACGTCTGATATTCCCACAGGATTTTGGTGATAGTATTCCTGGGCATGGTGGAATTACAGATAGAATGGATTGTCAGGTGAGAAATTGGGGCCTTGTAACTTAGTTCATCGTTTTCAACTAAATGTCGTATCTTTATATGTAAGCTAAATATACTGATATTTTAGCTGTTACAAATGGAAAGAGGAAAAATGTAAGTGGAAGGATGTGGATCATGAACTCTTTTACTAATTTGTATCCTTAGGAGGGTTGTTAAGTGGTAAAGGTCCCACTGGATCTATGCAGCTCTGACTTGTTTGACCATTCAATGTAGATGGTGATGGCAGTATTCGCATATATCTATCACCAGTCGTTTGTTGTGCGTCAAGGTATCTCAGTTGAAATGATCTTGGACCAGGTAAATTTATTGTCATATCATATGTTCTTCGACCCAGCACTATAAAATAAATGATCTTATAACTTATAGGTTGTGTTAATATGTATGCAGATATTGACAAATCTTACGTTCGAAGAGCAGCAAAGTCTTCTTATGAAGCTAGGGCAGATCTTGCAGGAAAGACTTGAGCATTCTTAAATATGTGGGCACAATTCTGTGCAAGTTACCATCTCTTACTTTCCCCCATAATATATTGCTTGCCCATCGTGGTTTAATTTGTAACAGCAAAAGGAGGAAAAGAAAATGCTGTATATGGTCTTTGTTAAGTTTCATGTTTTCTCCATTCAAATATTTTTAGAAAGTGTTCGTTATGCGCTCACTCTGTATAGTATATGTTAAGCCAATTAATTATTAATTGCCTCATTATGTCTAACATTTTCGTTTTTAAATTCAGAATTGGGATATGGATTGCTGCATTCTGTCATTATACACGCATGTTATTGTTAGTCATTATCCTCTTTCTAAAGGATACATATGTCTGGTAGGATGTACATATTTTCTCCTATTCAATTTTGGGACGTTATTTTGATATCACTTATCACAAGATCATTACCGTATTCCCAAAAGACATGTCTAATAGTATATGTAGTGTCGTTGCTTACAAATTTTAAGGACCTTTTTTTTCCTTTCTGATGTGGGATTAATGTTCCGAGACTAAAATTATTCGCTTTCTGATATTACATCAGCTCTTTAATTGTAGGAAAATATCACCTTCATATCTGTCGATTGGTATCTGTTTTGTGTAGTATTCCTTTGTGTTAAGATGAAGATTCATATAGGTGTATTTAAGGGCGACAAACCCTTACGGAAAAAGTTAAGCGTTTAAAAATGACAATTTTAAATTATTAATTTATAATACGATTCAATAGGGTGGGGTGGGGTATTGACACTAACCAAAGATGCATCTGGTGTAGAAGAATACTAGGTAGTTGATAAACTGAAATGCTTTTTCAATTTAAGTTGGTCATTATATTTCAAGAGCGGATATGATATTGCTATGCAACCTTGGTGCATGCCAGGTCCACGGTAATCCCAGAAAACATATGTCACGGTTGGAGGAGAAGCACGAAGCGAAGGGCATTGAGGATTCAGAAAATGAATTAGGGATTGAGAAATGCGAATTGGGAATTAAAACACGAAATAGCCAGGTGATTATCTTACCGGATGAAAGGGAGCAGGCCAGAGGGATACGAAGCATGCTGGAGCGGCCCAAATGAGACGGCCAATACCTGCTGAGAGAGGAAATGACACAAAACGATTCTGTTAGTAATCTGTTAGAACATATGACAGGTGGCAGAAATTAGATTATGCGTACTACACTGTAACTAAATAAAATACATGCTTGTAGTCATCTTTTTCTTATGAAATGAATGAATGAATTCTCAGCATTCTTGAATCCCTTTTCTTCTCTTCTTTAATCTCAATTCTATCCAATCTTCGTCTAATTTTCTTCTCTAATCTCCTAGGGTCATAACAATTGGTATTAGGAGCCTTAATTCCTAGCAAATTGCATACTGGATATGTAAAAGAAGAACCAAACCATAGTCGAATCTACTGATCTCTCTGCCATCAAAAAGCAAATTGAGGATTTAAAGAAAACAGTGCAGCAATCAAATGATGAAACCAACCCTCCCAAGTGGTGGGAGGCACAAGATAAACGTATCAGTTCGTTGGAGTCTAGGATGAACACTAATCAAAGGTACATTGAGCAAATTTTGAGTATTTTAATCGGTAAGAAGGATGGGCACGAAACTGAAAGCCCAAATGATAAACAAGAAAAGACATCGAAACCTTCTAAGGGAGATGTTATCTCTACCCAAAGTGTGTCTGGGATTTCATTTTCAAGCAAGTTTTTTCAAACTTCTAGAAGAGTCCACAAAGTGCTGAAGGACTTTGGAAGGGAATTCATAGACCAGGATTTATTTAAGCAAGGTCTTCAAGATTGGGTTTTGGAAAATTATGGTGTGGATGATGTCATCGGGAAGCAATCCCTTTTAAATTCTCCATTTCTGATTGATGAACTGCACAAGCTTGATCTAGTATTGGAAGGGGTTTTATTTCAACAACTATTCCGAATGCCATGTTCTCCTTTTGCTTCTAAAGGTTTGAAGGAAAATGGGTATCTTGCTTTGGAAGACTTTCTTAATGTTTTTGTAAATGGTCTGTGGCGTACATTTTGGCGTAAAAGCGGACCAGTGCAATTCACTCTGTTATGTGTGCAAAAACATGATAATTCTCACGTGTTCGATAAAATGTCTGTGAGAGTAGAAGATGATGAATTTCAATCAATCAATAACTCCATTTTCCAGCTTCATCAAAATGTCAAAATGGCGAGATCTTCGCAGTTGTTCTCATTGAAAACTCACTGTATATCCCTATCGATTCAGGTTGCTACTCTTGCATCGCATATTTTTTATTCACCCACACTCTTTGATGGCACAATTCAAAAAGCTCGAACGACAATTAAACAATTAGTCGGTTCTCCTTCTACAGTAAATGTGAATCAGTTTCCACAGTGCCAAAAATCTGGTAATTCAAATAACCTGAATTCTATAGTTCAATCGATGTTTAGAGAAAATTATTTCAGGGTGTTTATGAATGTCAGTGAACATATCTCAATCTTTTATCCTTATGTGTTTCGGTTTTTGTTGATGAGATGGAATAGGTTATTTGTTTGGACTGAGCCCCAAGAAAAGAGTATTGTCACATTTGGCTCAAAGTCGATGAAAAATGACTATGTTTATCAGTTTTTGAGTGAGTCTGATGATTTTTTTTGAAGAATGATATGATTCTGGTGATGATTTTCGTAGTTCAATACAAAATGGCATGTATCCAGAGGTGAACTTGAAGAATGTGTTGACTGGGTTAGTTGCAATTGTAACTAGGCGTAATAAAGGCTCCTCGAGTGTTTCTGTGAATCAGCAATACCAACGTTTTAATGTTTCAATTTTGGAGTCTGAAAAGAATAGGGATACATATTTGCACTCTGTTTATATACTAAGTGCCACTCCGCTTCTGGAGCCGAGTGGGTTAAATCATAACACATTATATGAGAATGACGACAATTGGGGTTTTAGTAGCACTGGAGACTTCAGGGACGATAATGATGAACTGAATGTTGCGTCGTGTTATGTTAAGCGGACAACAAACATGTCTAACCAGTTGTATGCTACAGCGCACCTATCTCCACTTTCAATTACTTATTATCGATATTGTTTAGAGAATGGGAGCTATTAAGTGAGATTACACTTTGCGGAGATTACAATCACCAATAGCACGAGATATGGAAGACTTGGGAGGCAGATTTTCAACATTTATATTCAGGATCAGCTGGTTGAAGAAGACTTCAATATAGAAGCTGAAGCTGGTGGGATTCTTACTCCGTTAATGAAACACTATAATGCCAATGTCACAAATGGTGAACTAGAGATCCGATTTTACTGGGATGGAAAAGGCACTCAAGATATTTCTGTTCGAGGAGTCTATGGCCCACTCATATCAGCCATCTCAGTCGATTCCAATTTCAGACCCAAGCATGAGGAGAAGAAAACAAAGACTTTCCCAATTATCATTGGTGTTGTAGGATCAGTTCTCGTATTCTTGGCATCTGGGATTCTCTTCTGGAGAGACTATTTTAAAGCTAAGAGCCAGAGAGAACAAGATCTCAAGGGACTAGATCTGCAAACAGTTTCTTTCACCTTAAAGCAGATAATGGCGGCAACTAACAACTTTGATTCTGGAAACAAGATTGGTGAAGGTGGATTTGGACCTATTTACAGGGGTCAGCTAACCGATAAAACAATAATTGTTGTCAAGCAGCTCTCTTCAAAGTCGAGTCAGGGAAACCGTGAATTCTTGAATGAGATGGGCATGATTTCATGTTTGCAGCATTCCAATCTTGTGAAACTTTACGGATGCTGTATCGAAGTGAATCAACTGTTGCTAGTATACGAGTACTTGGAAAATAATAGCCTTTCTAGGGCTTTGTTTGGACCGGAAAACTCTCGAATAAAGCTGGACTGGCATACTCGGCAAAAGAATTATGTTGGAATAGCTAGAGGTTTAGTGTTTCTCCATGAAGAGACTAGACTGAAAACTGTCCTCGAGACATCTCAGGAGCCATTACTTGAAGTTAAGGATAATATTAACTCAACTTATTCCTTGAGCGTTGAAGCTGCATATATAAATCAAAAGTTTACACAAGAGGTTTTAGTTATACATGGGAATAAGGTTAGTTTCGATGAGCTAAATCCGTTTGTCAATGAAGGCGACGAAGTGGCTTCTGTTGCTTATAGGTATAGAAGGTGGAAGCTTGATAATGATATGCAGTTAGATGTTCGGTGTGAGATTCAGAGTGTTGTTGATGTTAATAACCAGAAGTCTTTCCTTACTTTGAATGCACTTAATGAGTTTGATCCCAAGTACTCTGGTGTTAATTGGAGGAAGAAGTTGGAGACTCAGGGGTGTGGTTTTGGCTACTGAGTTAAAGAACATTGCGAATAAGTTGGCTAAATGGACTGCACAAGTGATTTTAGCCAATGCTGAATTGATGAGATTGGGACATGTTTCGAGGGTGCATCCTAGGGATCATTTTATCCATGTGATATTGGGTGTTGTTGGTTACAAGCAATGGCTAATTAGTTGGGATGGACTTCCTTCTTTTGCAACTTGGAAGGATTTTGTGGTCTTGCTATCACAAATTCGATACTTTGATCCTTGGGGACAAGGATCGTCTAAAGGGGGAGGAATTGTCACGGTTGGAGGAGAAGCACAAAGCGAAGGGCATTGGGGATTCAGAAAATGAATTAGGGATTGAGAAATGCGAATTGGGAATTAAAACACGAAATAGCCAGATGATTATCTTACCGGATGAAAGGGAGCAGGCCAGAGGGATACGAAGCATGCTGGAGAGGCCCAAATGAGACGGCCAATACCTGCTGAGAGAGGAAATGACACAAAACGATCCTGTTAGTAATCTGTTAGAGCATATGACAGCTGGCAGAAATTAGATTATGCGTACTACACTGTAACTAAATAAAATACATGCTTGTAGTCATCTTTTTCTTATGAAATGAATGAATGAATTCTCAGCATTCTTGAATCCCTTTTCTTCTCTTCTTTAATCTCAATTCTATTCAATCTTCGTCTAATTTTCTTCTCTAATCTCCTAGGGTCATAACAACATAACTAGAATCCTTTGGCGGTGTTAGGAAGGAAATGGCATGCATAAGCATTATTGATTGGTGAAGAAGTCAACCGTCATGGAAGGTGATCTGAGGGTAATCTGAATCATGAGAGAGAAGGTCGGAGAATAGTTAGTTTGCCCCCAATCCTCTAGTCTCTCTTGTGTGGTTTTTTGTAGGATCTTGGGTTTGTCTTGGAGTTGTCATGTCACTGTTCTTGACTAGGCTCTGATTGATTGTTCTGGGAGGTGATATGATTGGTGCTAATTGATTGTTCTTAGTTGTCATACCCTTAACCCTGATTGGTTGTCTTGTGAGGTGATAGGTTACATTAGGACTTTCCGTGTATTGACATGTGATTGTCGTTGGTCACTTATAAGGTGTGTTCGCGTGAGTGACACTCGATTAATGAGTAGTTGTTCGCATGGTAAGGAGGGTTCGCGTGAGCATTATATCCGCAAGTGGGAGTCGCGAGACCATAGGTTCGCAAGTGGTAACAAGCATAAAATGATGATAGTAATCAAACCCCAAATGCAATCAAATATGTCTAGAATAAAATGGAAGTACAACTACAAGGAGCCTGATTCTAACAGAATGGAATGCTCAATGACACCTAAATAACATGCTGCTCATGACAATCTGAAAACCCAAGATATTCTCTAGTGCTCAAATCTGGAAAGTTTAAAGAACTCACCATGTGTTACAGATAGACTTCGCCCTTCTAACTCGAACACCGAAACGTGCTGCTACACTTTTGTGTCTTTACCAGGTGATCTTCAACACAGTGAACTCTGCAAAAAGCCATCATTTTGATGAATTCATCTATTTTACCTTATTCTCTCATTTCTCAAAAGAACACAAGAATGTCAGGAACACCCTGTCATTTGGGGCTAAATATTACTTGTATTAAATTCTTTTCTAACAGATGATCATCATAGCAACATGTGCCATTATGGGTGTTAAACCTACTTTGAGTCCTTCTAAGTACCTAATTGGACAATTAATTTATTAAGACAGTGAAAAGAATACTCCATTTCAGTCTTCATGACAAACAAATAATTATATAATGTCAAACTCCCATTAAATAGTAACTCTTACCCCCTTCTGTAATTTTTTTTTATCTTCCTGTCTCCCTCATTTCGCAACATAAAGAAGAACCACAAGAGATTCCATCCAGCTAAGCAAATCTTTGTTGATTTCCTCCATAATTCAATCAGGCAATTAAAAGACTGCATGTTATGCTCTAAAAACAAGGGAACAAAAGGTTCAATTCAGTTCATCTAATCACTTGAAACCTAGAGAAGATTTAGAGTAGGAACCAAATTCTCAAGCTATAATTTTTTTAAGTTCAGTTGGTACTAACAAATTCTCAAGCTAGTAGTCTCAACTTGCTAAATGAAAGGCCAAATTAAAGGCTTCATCATTGATGGACCCAGTTTTTCCATTTAAGCAACGCCTTTGATAACAACACCACCTAACACTACCTATAAAGGATGGTGGTATTATAGATTTATTAATTCCACATGATGAATACAAGCTCAATTAACAAATCTAAATGTTCCCCTATTGCCTTTCAACAACCCCCTAATCTTTTACGTATTCAGTGCCTCGAACTGTAGACACAACATGCTTAACGTGACCCACTTTGCCTAATGAGCATAAATTATTACTTTGGCACAAATTTTCATTCAGAGATTTATGTCCATGCTAGAAGATGAAATCTTCTAAAGAATACAAGAACCAGAAGCTTCAACAAAGAGGATGCAGGGCTTTGTGCTGCAGTTGCAGGCTTAGTGTCTCTTCTTCAGAAGAGGCAGAAAGCACAAGTTCAGTCCGATATGCGTCGATCTCGAGTCTAGCACACGCTATGGTTCAAGAGAGGCTTGACCAAATGATAAGAGAAAGGCAGGAGACAAGGCATAATATAGAAAGAAGACGACAAAGAAGTGAGGGGACTAAGTTCGTTGTTATGGTAGCCATTGAGAAGTGTTCTTATGATCCGAGAGAAGATTTTAGAAGGTCTATGATCGAGATGATTACGGCGAACAGGATTCAAGAGCCCAAGGAGCTGCGCAGCCTCTTGAACTATTACGTATCTATGAACCCTGATGAGTATCATGGGATTATACTAGAAGTTTTCTATGAGGTTTGCACTGATTTATTCTTAAGTTGTAAACGCCATTGAAAGCAATGTGATATTCTTCTTCTTTTTTCCCCTCATAGAAATGCTCTGGTAGTCTTGAATAACCATGAACAATGTATAATGCATATATAAGGTGTTCTTCACCCATCATTGTGCAGATTGATGATCCTTGTGGATTTTATTATAACTTCCCCACTTTGACGCCTTCAGTTAAGGATACATGAGAATCGAGTCGAGAGCAGCAATAATATAATTTGCGTTTCAAAAGGACTATAACTAATAACAATGAACTATAAAGCTTGTCCACTGAATCGCCATTAAAGGGTATTTTCGTCGAAGGGAAAACCGGAAAGTAGGACAACATTGTCGTCGGCTTGCTTTGGTGCTCTTAAGGAATGGAAGCCTAAAATATTCTGTTGAAGAAAAATATATGAAAGTTTCATATATTATTACACCTCTCGCTCACTTGAGACGGCAAGTTCGAATATGGTCTTACAACAAATAGTATCCATGACCATGTATTATTTACCTATATAAGTATATAGTTCTTACATCAATCTAACAGAGTTTAAGTTCATGGGTTCAAGAGACTGCTGCCCTCCTTGAGGAGCACAAACACACTCCCACCATCCCCTCGTGAAATCCGCAGTTCATCGTCGAGGTATGTTGTAAGTAACCATGATTCGGCATTGCTGTTTGACAATGGGATCTTCAATGGTGGTTGGCTGGAAATTGTCTTTGCAACAGATGAAGCTGTGTCTTGCACTGAGGTGAGCAAGCCTTTAAGAGGAGTGAGATCGATTTTTTGTCCTAGAAACTCCACATTTTCTGGTAACACTATGGAGTCTGTCAGCTGGGGAGTTCCAATGATACCCTCCTGAAACTTGATCTGCACACAATATTAAAAAAAAAGTGCAAATTTATGTCACAACCAGAGGTCCAGAACAACTTCAAAATTAGTTTAGCAGAAGAAAAGTAGAGGCCTAAACTACGTACCTGCACACGTTTGGGGCTTCGGACCTCGAATTTAGCATTGGTGCTAATGGAACTCGAGGCTAATGGTCCAGAGAGCTGAACAGAGTTCTGCACAGTGAGATTTTCGGCATCGATGGTCTGTGATATTTCCTCCACCTTGACTAACTGAAATTGACCCCTTGACAACAACGGAAACATACCCGGGAAAGACGTGTACCTGTGCCATAACACAATAGTAGGTGTAGTATCTACTTAGAATTTTTATTATTTTATTAGCTGCAAGACAAAGAACTTACGCGAGAATCCATTTGCCGTTGAGCAGAGGCAACGCCTCGGTGGGTGCTGGAGTTGGGTTCTTCGCCTCGAGCTGAGTTATAAGCTCAACAATCTCAGCCCTGGTCTCACTACTAGCTTTCAATCCACGATCAGTCCCATAAAACGAATCCACCAAAGCTTTCTTCAAGCTCTGGATTTCCACCACTTGGTCAGGCTTCTTCTCTTCTTCTGCCACGGCCACTCCAGGACTCTCTATCACAACCGGCTCCTCCTTGTCTGGGCCCCATTCGTCGTCGGTGTCCGAAGCACGGACCCGGAAAACAGGTCTTGCCTGGATTGATCTCTGGGTCAAATATTGAGATTTCTTTATCAAATTCTGAGTTGGTTTTGCAGAGTTGGGAGACAGAGCCGAGAGTTTTGAGGTGAAGTTATTGGGCTGTGAGGTTATTAAGAAGGTCCTGCATGGAAAGTTAATCAACTGAGAAACTGTAGCCATGGTTGTGTAAATATGAAGAGAGGGGAGGAATCAATATTTGCAGGTCTGAGTGTAAGCTATACGATTTGGACAGTGACCAAATTAAGGAAAACCACCGTGTGATTTGCTAAATAGTTGACGGAACGAACGCTTGGGGGGAAGATATTGTGTCTATTTTGTATAAATAAATGTACATGCTTTCAACACGTGGATGTCTGTCTATCATCTTAATGAGCAAGGCAACAAAAAGAGGGCGAGTGGTTCGAAAATATTTTGTATTCCAATTGAGTCCTCTCACTTGTGACGTGTCGGCACACGACAGATTTGGAAGCCAGCGCTATTGGCGCGTGAACCAACTCTCGAAGCTTCTAAAGCTAAAATATCTCTTCTGAATTTAAGACAAAAACAAACAGCAAATTGATTATTTTTAAAAAGAGAAACATTTCAGAAACGACAATCCACCCACCATTATTGTCTCCGATGATCGTTTTCGCTTCTGTCAATCCCGAATTCCCAAGTTCCGACGTCCCAATTAAGCAAAAAAAGAAGAAGCTATTTTGAAGGATGCCATCCGGCTTGAATGTTACTTTAATGACCTTTATTTTTAAAGTTGAAAGTAGTAGCAAATGTAATAGGTTTTTATAAGTTTACAATTGGTTATGAGTTAGTTAGTGATAGGTAGTTGAGTTTCTGTTATGAAACTGTTATGCTTCTATTTCAAGTCAGTTGTGTATGCTTATAAAGCTAAATAAGCTTTGTTGCAACAAGAAATGTATCTTGAATCTTTCTCATTAACAAGGTTTTGAGAGTCGTTTCTCTCTTATCTCTTTTCTCTTTTCTTTGTTCATTAAGTTGTATTAATGAACCTTGACATGGTATCATTCGTCAATCCTGATGATCGTTTCTTCTGCTACTAGATCGTTTCTTGCCTTATCTTGTTCATCATTGTTGATCTAACTGCATATCCAATTCGAGGTTCTAAAACAGTGTCTCCAAATACCTCTCCCATGAGCTCGATGATAGTTCCGTTGGGGATTAATGAGATTCAGCACATTCCTAAGCATGCTACTGTCAAGCTTACCGAGAGCATCTACCTGCTTTGGAAGCATCAAGTGGCGTTGATAGTCGATGGCTATGGATTGACAAGCTTCCTTTCCAATGATGCAGTTCTACCAGATGAGTATGTTACAAATGTGTCTGGTCAGACTGAGATTAATCCAACTTTCTTGATCCATAAACATCAAGATAAATTGCTAGCCTCTTGGTTGCTCACCACGATTAGGACTGAGGTTCTTCCTTATCTTATTGGCCTTACAACAACCTTCTCCATATGGTCTGTGGTCTCTCGATTGTTCGGTGCTCGATTTGCTGCCAAGATCTCAGCCCTTAGGCATAGCTTACATACTCAAAGGAAATCCGGTCTGACTATTAGTGAGTATCTTGCAAAGATTAAGTCTATATGTGATTTACTTAATGCTTCTAATATTATTGTTACTGAGCAAGAACATGTGAGTGTTGTTCTTGCTGGTCTCTCGATGGAGTTTGAGTCGATCATCGCTATTGCATCTCGTGATAGTATGTATTTATAAACTCTGATTGATATGTTAATAGATTGTGAGGCTCGACAGAAAGTATTCTTGAATGAATGTGCTATGGTTAATGACATGTATACCTAAGGAGGTAAATAACGTTGAAGTGGATACTAAAGAAAGCAATGCATCACAAATGCGTTTAGGTCAAAATCGAGACCAGCAAGGTGGCAGTTATTGGGGTCGAGGCCGAGGACGGAGTTCAAACAGACCTCAGTGCCAATTGTGTGGTAAGTTTGGCCATGTGGTGCAAAAGTGTTATCACCGCTTTGATCATGACTTTACTGGTGTAACTGAAGGTGAGGAACAGGCTGGTGATGTCCAGAAACAGTTTGCTCAAATGAATCCAGTAAAACAACAACCTGGATGACAAGTGTTCTCTCATACGTTTCAACCTTTCTCGCCATTTTCTCATCATTTTCTCACCCGTTTGTTCCTTATTCTCACCTACCATTGTTTTACTCGGCTGGTCCTGGTTCATCAGGGATGATTGGTGTGCCTCATGTCTCAGGATACTATCAATTTCCCGTATCTTCTGGGCAACCAGCCTTTACTTCTGTGGCTCCTACATCGTTTAATTCTTCTGTTTCTTATAATTCAATTCGTTCATCAGTACCTTCAGAGACTGTCTGGTATCCTGATACAGGTGCTACGCATCATGTCTCGAATGATCTACAAGCTTTTGACTCATGTACAGTTTATACTGGTGTGAATACCTTACTCACGGGTAATGGTGAGGGGGTCAAAATTGATCATATTGGTCAAAGTTTTTTACCTACGAAACAAAAGTTTTAATTTTACAAAACATGTTGCATGTTCCTAATATTAAGAAGAAATTATTATCTGTCTCACAGTTCACGTGTGATAATAACATTTTTCTTGAGTTTCATGTTTCTGAGCGCTTTGTGAATGATGCTCACACCAGAATACTTCTTCTTCGAGGGAAGCTCACGGATGAGGGGCTATATCAGTTGTTTCCATATGATAATCATCTATCATATAACAAGTAGGAGGCAGGTTTTCAAGCTCATAATGTTTCTGGTTCACATGATGTTTTGGAGCTATGACATAGGAGGCCAGGTCACCCTTCTTTAGATGCGGTCTTGTCGGTTATGAAGTATTGTAATATCTCTTCAAATAAATCTAAAATCAATCGTGTTTGTACTGCGTGCATGCAAGGCAAAGCACACAAATTACCTTTTTTGTAAGTCTTTGACTGAATACAATGAGCCTTTTAAACTGATTGTGTCTGATGTTTGGGGACTTGCACCAGTTGTTTCTTCAGATGGCTTTGCTTATTATGTTTCGTTCATTGATGTTTTTAGTCGATACACGTGGGTTTTATTTGTTCAAACGTAAATATGGAGTCATGCAATGTTTTATTGACTTTGTTAAAATGTTTGAAGTTTAATTTGGTCATAAAGTCAAGATGTTGTAGTCTGATGGAGGTGGAGAATATCAGGCTCTGTGATCTTGGTTCAGAACGAATAGGGTGTTGCATTGTATATCTTGTCCTGGCACCTCTGAACAGAATGGTAAAGCTGAGTGGAAGCATAGGCATATTGTTGAGATGAGTCTTGCTATGTTGTCTCAAGTCTCGTTGCCTTTTAAATTCTGGAGCTATGCTTTTGTGTCAGCAATATACCTGATAAATCGACTTCATACGAGTGTTCTAAATGGTTGATCTCTGTTTGAAGTCCTTTATGGACAATCTCCAGATTATTCTCTTATTTATTTGTTTGGCAGTGTTTGTTTTCCTTGTTTGCGTACCTTTAATCAGCACAAATTGCAAGCTCGTTCTCAAAAAATGCGTATTTCTCGATTACAGTTCTTCTTATAAGGGTTACAAGTGCTTGGATGATTCAGTCAAGGTTATTCTCTCTCGGCATGTTGTTTTTGACGAGGAGGAGTTCCCTTATAAGAAAACAAGTTGTGTGGATTGTTCATGTAATCGAGGTAAATCTGTTGTAACTACTGGTGTGCTGTCAGTTGTTGTCCCTTATAGCTCTACCCCTGATACTGGCCACAGTCAGGAAGCACCTGTTACATCAAATAATACAGGAATACTACCTTGTAATGGCAATAGCTCATCTACTACAAGGTCTCCTGCTACCTCTGTGATTCCAGAATATGTGGAACCATCTACTGAATTTCCTCTTGCAGGTTGTGTGTTTTCAGATCATGTTGAACAACCATCTGCTGCGCAGGAGCCCCTTCCTCCAACTGTTGATCCAGTTGTTGAGCATGTTTCAAGGTCAGTACCTACATCAGAGGACAATATATCCGCCTTAGGTAATCCTCAGCTGCCCTCTCAAAATTCTCATCCCATGATTACGAGAGGGAAAATGACATTCGTAAACCGAAGGCACTTCAGGTTACCTTCCTAGAGAATGAACCCTACTCCATCAAGGAAGCCATGCGTAGTTCTCACTGGGCTAAAGTTGTGCAAGAAGAAAATGAGGCTTTAATGAAGAATGAAACTTGGTCGTTAGTGCCTCTTCCCAAGGGACGACAAGTTGTTCACTGCAAATGGATCTTCAAGGTGAAAAGAAATCCCGATGGGACTGTGTCTCGTTACAAGGCTCGTCTCGTAGCCAAAGGGTTTCTTCAATAGGCTGGAGTTTATTTTCATGAAGTATTTAGCCCAGTGGTCAAGCCAACCACTGTTCGTGTTATTATCTCACTTGCCTTGTCCAAGGGATGGCAGCTTCGCCAGGTTGACATCAATAATACATTTCTGAATGGTGTGTTGACTGAAGAAGTTTACATGAAGCAGCCGCCTGGTATGAATAAGGAAATGAAGGCTTGGTGTTCAAACTTAACAAAGCCATCTATGGGCTGAAACAAGCTCCTCGTGCCTGGTTTGATAGTCTTCGAATGTATTTGATTTCGGTGGGATTTGTTTTGGCACGATCAGATTCATCACTATTTGTTCGAAAGTCACTATTAACATAATGTATGTGTTACTTTATATGGATGACATAATCCTAACAGGGAGTAGTGCAGTTAAAGTTTAAGAGGTGATCAATGACTTGAACAAGTAGTTCTCCTTGAAAGATCTTGGCTCTCTTAGTTATTTTTTACGCATTGAAGTATGCTATGATGCTGATGGGTTAGTTTTAAGTTAGAAGAAGTACATTCGTGAATTGTTAGAGAGGTATGGCTTCAGTGATGCAAAAGAGCTTCCTACTCTTATGGTTTCTACAAGCAAGCTTTCATCAAATTGTGATGAGGTCATTACGAATGGTGCTGAGTACCGTAGCATAGTCGGTGCCCTTCAATATATCGTAATAACCCGTCCTGATATTGCTTACTCAGTAAACCGGGTATGTCAATTCATGAAGGTACCATATAATACATACTTTCAGGCAGTCAAGAGGATCTTACGTTATCTTCAAGGCATTGCTGACTATAGGTTACGGTTCACTTCATCACCAAGATTATCGTTAACCGGGTTTGCTGATGCTACATGGGCCTCTAATATTGATGATAGGAGGTCCACCTCGGGGTTTTGTATTTATTTTGGAGGGAATCTTGTTGCATAGAGCTATCGTAAGCAGCAAGTC